ATCAAAAAGGTAATCTGTAAATTCTTTATTTAAAGAATCCCTCTACCGCACCCAAATTTGATCAAACTATACATTTACTATTAACCTGATCATCATTCAATCTCAGATTTTCTGTCAACCACAGTTTTAACGCCAGCACTACGTTCTTTCCTAGATGTAGTGCAGTTCAAAATCCAGAATGAAGAAAAATTTGCATTATAATATAGTTCAAAATCTAGAATAAAGAAAAGTTGGAATTAAAGTTGGAGTTTGAAATTATTTTCATTCAAAGCATGTACTCATAACATCTAGCTCTAACTCACACATAGCTTTCCATCAAAAATGTTTGAAACATTGGTGAAATTTGGTGCTTTTCTTCAAATCCAATAAAGATCGGTAAAATTTGCCATTTTATGTTCTTGTTCCGCTGAAGTAAAGAAAGATGGTAGAAGCAATTTTTGGACATCTATGATCGTATTGATCCAATCTATTTCTCCATTGGAATAAAATATCATAATGTTAAACGAATAATAAATATGGTCAATTTTGGTGTTTTGGTTTTATTGAATTAAAGATTGGTCAATTTTGGTGTTTTTTGTTCTATTGAATTAAAGATTGGTCAATTTTGGTGTTTTTTGTTCTATTGAAGTAAAGATTGGTCAATTTGATGTTTTCTGTTATAAAAAATAAACAGATACATGTACATGTATATTCAAACCTACATGTAGAGTATTACAATGTAAATCACTTACATCTATGCAAGAGTCTTTTTACATTTGTTTATATTTATAAAGTTACATTTACAAATGTACATACACTGTACATGTGCTTGTACTATATGTCTCTTAGAAACGATTGGAAATTAAGAAATTAAAAAATTTGTGGATTTTATTGCTAATTGTCTTTTATCTTTGAATATGTGAACTAGATTATAGCATTATTACATGTACATCAAATATAGAGTACATATATATACATGTATGTAGATCTATCACGTGTAGTGCTTAAAAACAAAAGAGGGATGATCTTGACCAGCTTCAACTTCAAATGTACATGTAGCTTCATGAAATTGAGTTTTGTCTATATACATGTAAAGGTGTGGAAACCTTCCTGGTATTACTGTAATACCAGGAAGAATTGGAACAATCTTACCTCACTATAAACTTTGAATGAATACACTATTTAACATGTGATAATTGTTAATCAAATTAGGATATAATTACATTGAGTACCGGTATCAATAATCAGATCATATACTTAAAAACTTTCTATAAATTAGATAATAAATCTTATGCCCACAAACTTCCTGTCCGATTATACTGAACACAAACATACATTAATTCCTAAAACATGAATAGATGGCTCTGTATTTTGTGATGTGATGTCATAAATAAAACTTGTGACGATGAGCCAAGACAATACTATTTTTTCTCTCCTTGTCTATACTGTAGTTTCAACAGTTTATATTAAAAGCTATATGAACATGTTACATGTATGTACATTTAAATGTACCTGACTTATTCGATTTTTATAAGACGCATCCCCTCACATCTCAGGGTATATATTATTCCAATGAAGCCAATAAATATTGAGTAAAAAAAGGTACAGAGTGAGAGAGAAAAGGTACATGACATACATGTACATGTAAATAAAAAAAAAAAATTCTTAACTCTTTCGAAAAAAAATGTTCTTCATCCTTCGACTATGACAACGGATTATTATTTTCCTCACATGGATAAGGGGCGTAGTGGCTATGAGGGAGGACACTGTCATCACTTTATAAAAAAAGTATAGTATTTCATCTATGAATGAGGAAGGTTATTTTTTTACTTTGGTGTGAGGAAGCATATTATATGAATTAGTTGTGTGGTGAGGAAGAAAAGTGCAGGTCAAAGGGACCGGGATGTGAGGAAGAATAGAAGGCATAACAAGGGAAAAAAGGTACATTGTGGAATGATATACATGTACATCCCTGGCACATCTTTGACAAGATTCAATACTAAATGTACATGTATATAGAATGGGGTAAATATCTACTAGTAATATTTGGATTTTGTTTTCTTAAATGTAAATGTTCAATAATCAATTTCAGTATATTTTCATGTGAATTAAGCTGTAACAATTTACATACATGTACATACATGTACCAGTGACTTTAAATCCATGAAACTTAAATTCCTGATACAATGTACAGGTAAGAGCACAGGCACTTTAATTTTCAATGTGACTGGGGGGGGGGGGGGGGGGAGGGGGGAGCCCATCCATGTTTGGTTACACAGGAATGCTCAAACATCTCTAGCTTCCTTTCCTCTTTGACCATCATACTGAACATAAGAGAAGTTTTGAAGCCATTACTATGACTTTTTATTAATTATATTGTATATACAATCCACTTGTAAAAACAGGAAACAATGTCACTATCTTTTATCAAGTTTCTGCCATATCTCAGCTATGTTTCACTCTCACTTGTGTCTATGCTGTTTTTTTTAAAACTTCAGTAAAGTTCTGATGCAATACTACACCTACCGTACATATACAGTGCACTTCATATCTAACCCATTTTTCTGAAAACTTTATGATCAGATTTACTGCAACTTTTAGGTTTTTTCCATCTAACCAAAATATTAAACAAATCCTACCACCGACAAGGTGGCCCGGTACAAGATACTATAGCCCTGTATGGTGCGGTCAATCTGTTTTTTATTTCAATTATACTGTGATTTCGACCATAAAACTAGTCAATATGAAACTTGGGGGTGAGGATTTGACGGCAGTCTGAGGGTCTATCTGTGCCAGTCGCCGTCTTTGTTTGTCACCTGCATCCGTGCAAGAGCAGCGCTAGTTTTGATGGCTCACTCATGTGGCACCAGTTTTGATAGTTCGTCAAGATGGCCGCTGGTATTTGGTTGGGCTTGTATTTGTTATTTAGCCCCACATCATTCCTGCTACGAAATTAGGCATGTCCCGAAACAGCAGGCATATAGCTAAATCTCCAACAATATGTACATGTTAAACATGCTGCTAAGAGTAGATAAGAAGCTCAATTTAACAATAAGTAATGACACATTTGTATTTCCTGTATAATGTCAGATCAGAAATACCTGATCTCATCTGAGCAAAGAAATTACACTTGATGCATTATCACCCTCCCCTTCTCCCAGCTTCTTATTTAATAATCATTTAAATGATTAGATATCCTTGATTTCAGTTTTTAAAAAAATTAAACTGATAATTTAATAAAATATTGATTAGTTTTATGAATTGCTTATATGTCTACATTTTAAATTTTACTTCCAAAAATCAAGCTAATTATGAGGTCCAATTATGTGGTACATGTACATGTATTCGCTGTTTCCATTGTCAACACCTTAACTACGGTATAAGTCAAAAATGAAACTAAAATAAGCCAAAAAACATGCTTAATATTTTGAAACGATCTTGTCTCATCAATAATTTACATGTAAATATACATCAGAACAACCGACCACAACCCCTTAATTTAACCTAGCACCTATTTTGGGAGACGACATGATCAGATTTCATTAGAAGATCATGAAGCGAATGGGAGCCACTACCCTAAATGATGTTTCTTCTTTATATTTTAGCACTTATTTCAACACTTACTATTGAAAAGTTCTTTTAAACTTATTAGACCTTTAAAGGATATAGTCACTAATGGTTAGGGTGTCAGGGTTCTTGGTCCAGCAATTTTGATAATCTTGTCAATTCTTTTGTTGATCCCCCACTAAATCTATTTGACTGACAGTGACTTTAGATATATAAACTAACTTACAGACTAAAATGATTATCTTGTTGAGTAACATAGAAGTGTTTCATACATGTACATTATACATGTGTAATAGTCAGTTCACACCCTTGTCAACTTGTCTACAATTTTGTTTAAAATGACAGTTTGATTTGAGTAAAAAATAAAATTGTCAATTTCATTGGATTTTACATGCTGATTTTTTGCGTGGGACAACAATTTATCTTTGTTGAATATTTTATGTCTATAGATAAAGCCAGTGTTAAGATACTGTATAAATGATTTTGTGTACCACTGTCAACACAATAAGCTCAAAATAAAACTAACATTCGTTTCCACACAAATATTTTAATCGTTTCGAGTTTGCCTCATTAATAATCGAAATAACACACCAAAGTAAGAACAACTTAATTCAATATTTCATTTTTACCTAGATCAGAAAGGTTTTGTTGTGTTACATAAGCTTGTATGTTAAACTTTGAGTTATACTAAATAATTATGACAAGGTTAAAGTAAACATAAAGTTCAACAAAACTAATAATGCTATTTGAACAACCATTGCACAGACTTTGGAAGTTACTCTGTATTCATGATTTAAATTATTTTCATTTTTATTATTAACCCAAAGCCAAATTCCAGGTAAATTAAAATATGGACACAAAAGTTTAAGTGTAAGTTCATTTTTTTTTATTAATGAAATATCATTTGTAGATAAGTAAACCAATTAACCTGTTAGTGGTCGTCATTTGTATTCTAGTGATCATATTGGCATATAACTGTGTAATATAGGTAAACTGTACATGTAGATACAAGGATAAAGAATAAGTCGTATGACTTATGGTGATATGATACAGTAGAATTTGTAACTGAGTAACTATTACTAAACAAACCATCGACACATCGTTTATTTAGCATTACTCAAAACCGCAGTCACTCACACTTCTTGATTTACGATTGTATGTATTATACACCGGAAATTCCGAGCTTGTTCTCGCTTCCTACTGTCGAAAAGTTCCGCTAAAAGTGTCCAATGACATTCCATGACACTCTTATTAAAAGTTAAATAGATAACATCTCATAGAATTTTAATAGTACAGTGATTTTATTGAAAAGAAGCGTTACCGTTACATATAACGGTATATCTACCACACATAGTACTAAGTATACAATGTATAAAGTAGACAACAATATAAGCATGAAGTAGTAACTGGCAGGTGCCCGCTTTAATCACTGATAAATTAGCTTAAACGCTTACCTTTGTTTTTGTAACGATGTGTGTGGCTAATTTGACTACGGCAAAATTCCCTTTTCCAATTGTTCGCTCCATTTCATAATATCCAACTCTTACTGGGCCGCTAGCACCCGAGACGGTTTTCACTCCCGTCTTCGCGGCAGCCATTTTGTTTAACCTCTCAGATTACGCATGCAGCATAGCCTCGATCTCATGTCTCATGTCAAGATGTATCTAGGTCAAAGTTTGTTGACCTCATTGTGGCGCTGTTATCCCGCTTGATTGATAGCCGACTGTCATCGCTCATGACACAACCATGATCAAAGGAAAGACTCGTAACACAAATTTCTTTCGTAAAGGTGAAATGGATATTAGTAAAGAAAATGCACATTTTTAAAAACTAATGTCAAACAATGTCCCAAAACACAAATAAAATAAAATAATCTACCTTTGTATTTTGTCAGTGAACCTAAAATTTATAAAGTTTATTTGGGCGCAGCAGGTCCATGTTCTTGAGGGGTTGCAAGTATCCCGCATACGGAACTTGGTTGGCTATTAACCATGCAATCCTATGCGAAGATACAAGATAAGACTGACACCCCAATACCAACCCCTGTCTGTTATGCAGCAAAGTCCTGGGGCGGCAGTGTAGTCTTCTTTTTTTTTGGGGGGGGGGGGGTCCGAGTGGTCTGGATATCCTCGAACCAACCGGTTCCCTTGGGCCCCCATTGCCTTTGTAGAATTAGAAAATGAAACTTGCTATTTTTATTCTCGGATTTTGACCATTATATTTTTCAGTGGATGCGAATGAGAATTTTGTTCATTTTGGAAAAAAAAAAGAAAAGATATGTCATGTTTTTCCCATCGGGTCACGTCCGACGGTTCGGGGGCGAGTCCTCGCCTGACAATATCGAAAATTAAAATATTGTGTATTGATGCTGCAGAAAGCCACACTAAATGTCAAGATCGTGATTTGTAATTTTTACAGTTATTATTATTTATTTTTTGTCGTGTTTTATAAATTTTTTTAATGATTATCATTTCGAAGAGCATTGGTTCAATAGGTACTACTTGGTGCTAATATGACTGGAAACGTCGTGCATTCATTTATTTCATTGTGTAATTTAGATTTCAATGAATTTCAAAATAGTTTCATTCTGGAATTTGCCATGGTCTGCTTTTTTTAAAAGTAGCTCAGACTCTAACTCGATATCATCCAAAGTCTTCAACATTGAAAACACGAATTATTTGTCAATTTAAATCAACATTGATGTTGTGATCTCATCGAGAAAAGAAGGGCTTCTGATATCCAATATTTAAGACAAAATAAACATTTTGCCATTGGTGCTCCGCGCCAATCGTAACCCGGGGCTAGATATATTCCACAAGTCAACTGGCGGGGTTTCGATTCCCCGGTTGTACGTGACAAGGAGTAGGGTCGCCTGTCCAACCTCGTGGGTTTTCTCCGGGTCCTCCGGTTTCCTCCCACTGCTAAAGACCCCTACGCGCAAGCGAATGATTGAAATAAAATTGAACCATGTGTTAGTCTCGAAATGACCCAGTTTGTGTCGAGTGGACCTTAAACCCCATCTCCCTCTCTCTCTCTCCTCTCTCTCTCTCTGTTTTAGACTGGAAGAACCAAACGCTAGAGATTGCCATTCGATTGAGATATCTGGCGTATTTCGGCGAACATAACTCATTTCAAATTAGAATCACACTGAGACTACTAAACGACCCACGTGTATACTTTTCTGTTCGGGGTCTGTTTTTCTACAGTGGCAAATCGCTATTCTTTGGCACCTAGAAATGGACACAAATGGGCCGCAACGCTTATAATAATGTAATATATATGTATATAAACTGATTTACATTCAATCATTTCTGTTTTTACTGTAATTTCTAATCGGTTATGTTTAGTGAAATACGCGAAGAGTCTGAATTGAATAACAGTCTTTGGCATCTGGTTATTCCAGTCAACACCGGAAGTATTTTCCTACATGGGTTATGTTTAAGCATCGTTCATCGAGTCGCCATACAAATGGCGCTCGAAAGCTTTCTGGCACATGATTCGTGTGCCAATTTTAAAATTTTCATCTTGTCTTAAATATTGGATATCAGAATCCCAACTTTTCACGGTAAGATAGCAACATCGATGTTGATTTAAACTGACCAATAAGTCGTGTTTGCAATGTCGAAGATTGTCGATGATATTGAGTTACGTGGCTCCTTTAAATGAAATAGAGTATATGGTGTTTAAGAGAATTACTCACTGTCTCGTGCATGGCATAACAGAGGAGAGGACACAGTCATAATCAGACTGGCATGTTGTATGAATAAAATCTAATAAGAAATAACCCAAACCTTTATATAATTTGCCGTTAGTGGCCAGGGTAACTATTTTATTAAAAATTCACCCACATAACGTCATAGTGGTCAAGATCATTTTCTTGCTCAGTGGCTGGCTATTCGACCCGAGACACCTCTTCGTTTGACCTTGCTCCACAAGGAGTACGAAAAGAGAAATTCTACTAGCAGGCGTTAGACTTTGACACCAATGCCATCTTAAATATCTCGAGGCAAGAAGACAATATTGAATATACAGAGGGCAACAGTAGCAGACGACATCTACACCTACAGTCCGCACATCGGTATTACCATGACGTCATGAAATGCAATTCAACTTATCCCCAGCGGCTTTTTAATCTACGTCACATTTAGCGACCAGTGTTCTTTGACTAGCCGATCATTTCAATATTTTAGGTGATGGCATTAACTTGGTCAGTAGGTTATTAGGTAATCATTTAAGCGAGTAAAAACGGCGAGTAAACTGACACATAGACTTGCACATCGATTTTTTCTAACAGCAAGTGCCGTGACGTCACAGTGACGTCCAGAGATCAACTGGTAATTACGGTGTATCCGCCATGTCATAGTATTGAAGAAGAAAAAAAAAGACGCTCAGCTTAGATGACTTAATTCATTCTATAAAGTACATCATTGACCTTTCCTGTATTATAAAGTAGGGCCACGGGTTTTAAATACAGTGTTCGTGTAACTGCATTTGATTTTAACTACATATTTCAAGCTAGAGCTTTGAGTTCCATCGGAACCTGAGAGAGAGAAATGGGGTTTAACTAGGTCATTTCGGGAATAACATATGGTTTTAATTTTATTTCAATAATTCGCTTGCGCGTAGGGGTCTTTAGCAGTGGGAGGAAACCGGAGGACCCGGAGAAAACCCACGAGGTTGGACAGGCAACCCTACTCCTTGTCACGTACAACCGGGGATTCGAAACCACGCCAGTTGACTCAATGACAGGCCTCGTGATACAGCGCGCGCGTGCTAACCATTCGGCCATCCCCCCATCGGAATCTCTTCAGGCTTTAATAACCATAAGGCAAATAAGGCACGTGCCTTAGGGCCAGCCAAAAATCCAGGCCACAAAATAATAAAGTAAAACTTTTTTGATAATTATCAGGTGGTGACAAAAATGCTTGCCTTTATTTTTATGTAAATAAATTGCATCCTTCTTCATCTACGCGTTTGTCCTTAAAGCTTTCCATACTCTGGCAAAGGGTTGACATGATGTTTCGTCCCTTTACACACGTGAGGTTTGTTTACATTTGTTGCGGGAAAGAATCTCGTAAGTAATTTCATATTTTTTTAAAATTTTCATTGATTTCGCAATTGACATTAGATGTATTTCATGTAATTATAAACAGGCATAGACCAACATAACGAGTGAAACATTGTCGAAAACAAGCTGATATGACTAGGGAAGCCAAGGTGAAAATTCCGATGGCGGTTCTGTGAAAAGACAATCCTCAGCCTGGTCAGCTGTTCGTAAATCTCTAGTCAGTAGTTTCAGGCCACCTATCAAAATGTGCCTTAGGGCCAGCAGAGCCTTAATCCGGCACTGAGCGTAACTATATAAACTCAACCGTAATTATGATGTAACGGTGATATTTGAACGTTTTTTACAATCAAGTGAAAATTGTGACCTCCAGAGAGTCCAGAAGCTCAAAATGCACAATCCGGGGCCATATTCCAGTAATATCGACAGGAACCGAGATCTTTTGGTTATAAACATATAGGCTACATTGTAAGTTTCATCAAAATCCGATAAAAATAGTGACCTCTATAGTGGTCCACAACCTTAGTATTATTACGCATATATGTGTTTAGTTCAGCATCACGGGAAACCACCATCGGCTGCGTTTTCGTGGCAAGGGATTTAGAAAAGAATTAAAACTTTCTTGTTGAGTAAGTTCATTTGCCAGAAATCGTCCAGAAAGCATCTGCGACGCCCCCCCCCCCCCTAAATCATGAATTTCTTCCACTGGTTCTGCGAGGGATATAAATAAAATAATATTTAAGTTGATAAACTGATGGGAAAAAATGCAGCAGGCGTCTCTTTGTAAAATACCTTAAATCGCTACACGAAATAGAAAGGTGATGTCCTAAATTATCAAAGAAGAAATAATATTGCTTTTTTAATATACTTAAATATAATTCTCTTGTATTATGATTTTTGTAACTTAAAAATATATAAAGCCATTTTGAAATACAAACCGATATCAACGATTAAAATAAAAATAAATTAAATGGCTACACTATGTCTTCGTGTTTGTAACAGTTTTGCGTTTAGTATTGCACTGTCTATATTGTACAATAATGTCGTCCATCCAATGAAATGGGGCTTAACATACTACTTAAACCAGTGTGGGGGGGGGGGGGACAGAAGGGCCCGGAGAAAACCCACGAGGTTGGACAGACGACCCTACTCCTTGTAACGTACAACCGGGAACCGAAACTACGCCAGTTGGCTCAAGGACAGACCTTATGATACAGCGCGCACGTGCTAAGCATTCGGTCATCCAAACCCCCTCCCCCACCCGCAAGCTGGGATCGAATACGGTACCTTCAAGTTAGCGAGCCAGGGTCTTACTCAATGAGCCGCCATGGCTCCAGACTTAAAGAAAATCTTATTCGAAACTTAAAATTAACACCATAATAGACCTAGATGACAACTCTTATGTTTTTAAACATTCATTATTTATTAAAGGGCGTATAGCTATATTCTTTGGAACCTTAAAATAGACGAAATAGGTCTAAAGCCACATAATAATGTAATTTGAATTATATAAAGTGATTTACATTCAATTTTTAAATACATAATTGTAAATTCTTATCGATTATATTCGGTGAAATGTCCAAACTGAACTGAGGCCGTTTACACCTGCTTAGGCCATTCTACATGTTATTTTGTCGTTTGTGAATCAGCCATAACTAATTACTTCTGCATTGTCTTGTAGTATATGTTTTTCTTTGTTCATTACAATTGGCGCCAAATAAACAGAGTACACGACTCGTGTACTGATTTCAAAATATTTACTATGTCTTAAATGTTGGATATTAGGATCCCATATTTTCACGGCAAGATACCAACATCAACATTGATTGAAATGGACCAATATTGAATTCTCATTCGTGTTTTTAATTTCGAATATTGTGGATAATATTACGTTTCACATTTTGCTCCTTTAATTAAATAACACTAGGTGTATATTTGTGTTCGTGTATCAAACGGGTTAATTCTGTGTGGAAAAACTCTCATACTGATCACTAGCAGTGAATATTCGCTAGCCCCCTACAGTCATTGATAGGGATGACATCGATGCGACTTAATAAGCCCCAAATATTAACTTTTTTCCTTCTGCAAATTAAATTCTAAAACAGTTTTTTTAAGCATTCGAAAAATATAATATAAAGGTGTTTCAAGTATATGTAGATATATAGGTGAACAATATTTCCTATTTAGTGTAAATGGGTATGTAAAATGAGTAAAAGGCACCATTCTGCCCGGACTAGTAGTGTCTTATGTAAACAATACACGTGCCATTAAGCCAATGATTGACGCCGCGTGATGTGACGTCACATGATAAAGCAGTCATCTTTTACAGAGCTATTTATAATGTTCGCAATACCTCTGTGAAACAGATTGAAAAACTCTTAGAAACCTGTATCCTAGTGCCTGGGTGGACATGTCTACATTCTTGCCTCAGTTACAGTCACTAGTGATCGTTGCGATTATCATGTCCCTCGTGTCAACAGAATTCCTTAAATGAGTAACATAAACCCGTTAAACAAATCTAGCGATTATTTCCGAACAGCTCAATATTTTGGGCTCAAACCTTTACACAAGCTAACTCTATACATTTTAGTGTTCGGTCGCTTACATAAATGCACTTTTACTTCGCTGAAAACTGTGGATGTCTCTTTAAAAAAAAAGTACCCCCCCACCTCCCCAAATAACAGTCCTATTCCAACGGCCCCATATCAAGCCATACGAGACATTTTTTAACCGTTGGAAGATGTGGAAAATCATAGATATCATGTTGTTGTAATCTGATTTATGATACCGTTGCTTTAAGTTTAAATATACGTATAGGGAGAAAGTAGGTTATTGCAACCGACTGGTACCGTTATATCATAAAGGCTTATACTTTTGATAAAATTACCCAGAGGGAATTATAGACTTATATACCACACATGATAATCCCTTACCGGGATTATATGACAGGGATAAATATGGCTTATATTGACTGGATATGTTCAACAGCAGTGCACGAATTATGATCTAACAAAAACCGTAGGCGTATAAATATATACGGATAGAATACGAGGTCAGTCCTCTACAGAAACTATTCACTTTTCGTCTGATCAATGCTTGTTCAGATTTGCATGATCGGTTCTTGTAATGGTGTCTGATCACTCTTTATTGAAACCGCACTAAATCTTCCAATTAGGCACTTCTCAATTTTTCTTGACGTCATTGTTGACGTCAGACCTCTAGCTGAGGGCACGCGCATTGGTCACGAGGGTCTAGTTCCTATCGATTGAAAACGCGAATCGCGGAAAACCTATTAGATTTACTACTTCTTTGACAACACACCAGATAATCGACAGGTTTTTTTTATTTATCAATAGTTCATAGACAGATATTCCCAGTTTCATTTATTTATTTTATTTCAAATACTTATGCTTTATATTTACAAAGATGGTCTAGATTTCATTTCGTTATTGACATAGCTATTTGAGCAGGGCAAAAATAGACATAAATAAATCGTTTAGTTCCATTCTAGGGCATAGATAAAGGTGTGATATTTCAAATACACAAAAAAGTCATTATTTATTTATGAGCGCACTTGCATATTATTTAATGTTCTCATGTTAATCAAGAAGGCTATAAATTAAATAATTTGAATGAATATTCTAGAAAAGGCTTTGACATAGATGACATAATTATCCAATCCCAGGTTTATAAAGTAATATTCAAGTAATTTAAGCGAATATTCTAGAAAAAAAGTAACACGTTTGCATTTACGTAATAGCCAATAGAATTTGAACAGTCAGTTTGGAATTTCCTCTTGTTAAATCATCATTTCCAGCATCATTATAAGTCACAGCTCGATCTAAAATTACAGTTGTAAAGGGTAAACTGAGTGAAAGTACGAGGTTTGAAAGTCAGTATAAATAAACAGACGGCAGATTTTAGCTCTATCGATTTGCCAAGCGGTCGTGTAATCTTCCATCTATACTTAAAGGGAAGCAACTCTTACAAAATAACGGCGCAAATTTTGATCATAAAAAAGATTTGTGTCACTTCGCGAGAATATGACCAAATCTTACTCCCTCATACAATAAACTTAAAACGAACAATATGTTGGTAGACATCCAGGCAATAGAATTGTAATATATCGGCTATACCCAATGGTGGCGACAGGATTAACTTTGTGTTTGGATGCATGTCCAAGGGAGCTAGGGCGTCGGGGTCTCCAGCTAACGCCAATCTCCTTAAACTGAGTGTATCGTAAATTATCTCGTTAGATTTGTTCTGGGCCACAAATATATTTTTCGAATGGTTTTATATGTAGGCTTTTGATTGTCTATGACACATTTTTTCAATATGTAGAGACTTAAATGCATTAGGAATTGAAAAAAATTGGGGGTCATAAATATTGAAGTGGGTGTATAAAAATGAGAATACAGTGCATATTAATCTTTATGAATAACCTAAATTTAAAAGTAAATTGGGATCAAAACCAACTTCAATACAAGGGTAATGAGCTTGAAATTAATGTCAGGACAAACTATGGTACTGATCGATAGAATGTCAAGGCAAACTATGGTACTAATCAATAGAATGTCAGGACAAACTATGGTACTGATCAATATAATTTCAGGAGAAACTATGGTACTGATCAATAGAATGTCAGTAGAAACTATGGTACTGATCAATAGAATGTCCGGAGAAACTATGGTACTGATCAATAGAATGTCAGTAGAAACTATGGTACTGATCAATAGAATGTCCGGAGAAACTATGGTACTGATCAATAGAATGTCAGTAGAAACTATGGTACTGATCAATATAATTTAAGGAGAAACTATGGTACTGATCAATAGAATGTCAGTAGAAACTATGGTACTGATCAATATAATTTAAGGAGAAACTATGGTACTGATCAATAGAATGTCAGTAGAAACTATGGTACTGATCAATAGAATGTCAGTAGAAACCATGGTACTGATCAATAGAATGTCCGGAGAAAGAATGGAAGAGAATCTGGTACTAATCAACAGGATGTCAGGAGATAGGAGATGGGCTTCTTAAGACGCAATCTGATTAAAACACAGATCCTATTTTGTTTTTTATGGTTCAAAATTTTGTTTTATTTGTCTGTACTACACTAGGATCTGGAAGAGTTGTTATATTATCTGCGTTCTGAATGGCGTGGGGTATTAGCCAATGAAACCATCTGTTACGGCAACTTCTTGGCATGTCATGCACGAAACTGTGGGTAAACCACTAAAAATGTCAACGCTGATTGATTAATCAATGTCTGACGTCATAGGGTCAAAAGCCGCTTGTATGACCTCTGACGCGACCTATCGCTACAACTGGTCAGGTCTTCATGTAGTGTAGGGCCATCGAAAGTATAAAAAACAAAACGAAATATAGATCTGTATTTTAATCAGATTGCTTAAGAAGGTAAGAGATAATGAAGACAATAAACCGTTGTACAATGGGATTTTATTTACAAATGAATATTTTCTTTACAGTACGATAATATGAATTCTTCTGGTAAAAAACACTGCTTCAAATTCAAGCATAGATGACATATTAAATGTCTTTACTGTTTTTGTACTTTTAAAATATATCAAATACATAGCCAGCAGAACTCGGTAGAAATCTCTGGAGATTGGATCTTATGCGTTTTCATCTTATTCCTGGCCTGCACATTTAAACATTTGGTAATGATGAAGCAATGAAAGAATTAATATCTCTTTTTCTTCAAAATATCAGCCCTCCAGTTGACAGGATGGGTCTCTTCAGTCTGAAAATGAGAAATATTTTTTTTAAAAAAAGTTATTTCATCTGTTCAAATTTGTATAGCTATAATTTTGGCTAGCCAAATATTAAATATTACAAATTTATGGTGTGTACTCAATAAGCTTTTTATTTTATCCAAATTAAAAAATTAAAATAAAAAAAAAGATAATCATCTCTGAAACTTACAGCTGTCTCATCTTCTTTGTATATTTTAATTGTTTTATCTGCTTCACCTGTTATTAAACGACTACCACTGTGATCAAAAGAAAGAGCAAATATCCCAGCTTCAGAGTCAATAGACCCGGGTTGAGCCATTCCTTGTAATCTCTGGAAGTTATATCCAGTTCTCCAATCCCAGAAATGCATTGTGCCATTATCGGCTGTAAGAAAAAATAAACAAAAATGAATGTTACTTTTAAATAAAACGTCTCATTTTCATTTAACGTTCACAGTACTTTATTCTGAGACTAACAATTTTATTTACCTCTGACGCTTTAAACTTCTATCCAGCTGTGTTGACAGAGAATTGTCAATAGCAAACTATATGTAAAGCAACTAAGCCATCTACAAGTTCTGCCATTCACATAATCTATTTATCACATAAAATAACACTCTGTTTTTAAATGGTTATTGAAAGGTTTAGATTGAATAAAACCCATATTCGTTAATAAGATTAAATCATGATAGACTCACCTCCTGAAACTAAAACACCATCTGAATTGAGAGCCAGGCTGTTTATAATGGCATTATGACCAGTTAAATTCTGTAAAAAGTTACCCTCAGGGAATTTCCATTGTTTGATATTATCTGGTGAAGCAGTAGCAAAACTATATCTAAAATAGACAAATCATTATTAGCATGAATGAATGGTAATGCAAGAGGGAGAACCTGCTCGGACCTTAAGCTTTTTCACCCCACCTGAACAACTAGGCACACTTTTCTTGTCAGTACCAGGCTTGAAAAATTCTATAAGACAGGTCAGTGTCCGACTGATCGACTACTGCTGCCTGAAATTTATTATAACACTGATATCAATTTATTTAGTCCGACTAAAATCAACAATAGTACAATATTAATTAGTTTATTTTTAATTCATTAATCTTTTCTATATCAGTCATGTCAGCGTTTTAACATTTATAATCGCCATCTATGTAAGAGTTTTACTGGGAGTTTTTGGCATTGTTTAGTTGTGAAAATGAACTCTATAGACATCAATAATTTTTGGAGTTATTTCCCTTGTAATCAAAGTTCACGTTTTTCAGATATTTTTTCAAGTTTGCTGGGATTGTAGAGAAATTCTTTTAAAAACATCAAAACAGTGGATGACTAAATTGCTGGTGGACATTGCCTGCCGACCTGTCTTTCCACCAATAGAAAATAAGAGGTTAACTTACTGGGCTGGATGTAGTGCAGCAGCTCGAACACTCTTTTTGTGATTGGTTAATGTGACTCTCGTTCTACCTGCCGCTAAATCCCAAAGTCTGATGGTACAGTCATGACTTCCAGATATAACTTGAGGTTCGGCACTCTGACATTTAACTACAGCTACCGTATTCTGATGTCCTGACATTGTGTGTACACATGCCTTAGTTCTTATATCCCATATCTACAATAAAATAATAAACAAGATGACAAAACACAGACATCGTAGACAAACCAGAGATCAGAGAAATATCAGTCTGTGAATGGATCGGAAATTTGTCGTTATGCAATCAAAACTTCAAACAAATTTGGACGAATAACGAAACACATAAGCTTCACCAGTTAATTGGTACAAATTTACGATATTTTTTTAATTTTCTAAATAATCGAGTTTAATGTTAAGTCATGTACAGACAAATTCTATATGCCTTCTACAAATCTTGTTTTTATGATTAGCAATTAGAGAATTATATAACCAACAAAACATGGCTTTTTAGGGATTTTGAGCTGATAAGAGACCACTTGTCGCAACATTGTGCTATGTGTACAAACCTGTGATTGTTTTTACATATTAAAATTATGTTTTTTATTGTACTCAATCCCACTTCTGGATTATAAATCTGGTGACTGTTGATTGATGATCATATAATAAGCAGAATGTGGTTATTTGGTATTTTAAGAAAAATGATCTTACCCTAACTGAAGCATCACGACCAGCACTAGCTAATATGTCTATATTTGGATGTATATCTAGAGAATGTACAGCACTCAGATGACCGTGAAAATGACGGATAACCTGTAATACAAAGAGTGATATAAATCATTTTATTAACCGTCCTTGGTAACTGGAGGAAACTAGACACAATTTATACCATCAAAAATATCGAGATGGTGAGGGTCTGGAACAAGCGTCAAATCTAGGTTGTTGCTGATAGATTAAGTCCATCTGCTCTTTAAACTGTGTCTGTCATGGTGTAGTCTACTTGATGTTATTGATATGGTAGTAACAGGTCAGTACAATAGTCACTGGCTCTAATATACTTATTGTATTTGAATCTGTTTGACAGAGGAACATATCTACCCCCAATTTGAATCTTAAAATTATCAAGCACATGCACAAGCATATTTGCTATGAAAGGAATATTGCCCTGATGGCTGACAGTGGCACTATAGACTACTCTTATTTACATTTATTACATACTGCCAGAGGAATCTTGGTTTTTCACACCATCTAAACAACTAGACATTTTTCCTTGTGAGGTCCTCCGTCCTGAACCGCTGACTAGGGAAAACCAGACCAGAAAATTCTAAGGAACTTTCTCAGTCAACACCGATATCGTTACTTAGCCACCTCAGCTCCCCATCAAGAAAGTACACAGATGAAAAGTCAGAAAACACTACAAAACCAGATGATACAACTAACCTTGTTATATTCGAGATCCCAACATTTAACTTGTTTATCTTCACCACATGAGAATAAATAAGGATTACGAGTGCTGACCGCCACACCTCGTACTGTACTAATATGTCCGGTCAAAGATAACTTTAACGTACCAGACGCTAAATCCCAGATCTACAAACAATAAAGATTGAAAAAATAAAATACAAATTCTCTTATAAATCTGGCAAATCATATTTTAATTACGATATTAGAAAATAAGTTCTGATTATTTATATTAATTTGTAACAAGATAATATGTCTTCTATAAATATTGATTCAATATTGGTGAGATTACATATTGATGTGATTACATAGAGATGTGATTAAATGGTGATGTGATGAAATATTGGGAGGAAACCGGGACGGCAACCAGAAAGATTAAACTAAAATATAAAAATTGTGATTTTTCATTGGCCCATCACTAAAATCTTGGTGCTCCACCTATTTTAACATACAATGTGCTGCACTACTGACAAGGGGGAACCACACCGGAAAATCTTGAGTAACTTTTTTGGCCAACGTAGGGATCGAACACGGAACCAATGTCTTACTCACTGGCTCCCTCTTAAACTAATTATAAACTATTCAGTCAACTGAAATGACTGTAAAGGGAAATTTCTCTTCTTAACAAAAAAAAATATAAAAAAATACTGCTATTTCCTTTACTCCCAACAATGGAGTCAGACAGGGATATTAGTTAATTAACTATTGTCAGAATTGCAAAGAAACCAGAAAATTAGTACAGAAGCTTGAATATTCTCCTCACTAAATATGTTGTAGTTCAGAGGGCCTTAATGTCCGCTTCCACTAAAGGTGTGATATCACAGACAAGTTGTTTTATTTCATACATTCAGTGAATGCACAGGTTTCATGTGGGAGGAAACCAAAGTACCCAGAGTAAATCCTCAAAGGTAAGAAGGCCTGCCTATCTCCAAGCCACATACGTTAACACCAGAGATTGAAACCATAACCAACCAAAGCTTGAAGCATGACACTCTGGACCACTAGGCCATCCCAAACCCAAATATGATTTTTGCTTACCTTTATAACTCTGTCACCCGCTCCTGTTACAAACCATTGATTGGCTGGTTCTACTGCTATACACCTCACCCAACCAAGATGTCCACTTATAACCTATAATATACAGTCAAAATAAATCTGTCAAATTACAACTCCATTCAAAACTTGAGATTGTCAAAATATTACCTGAAGTGAGAAATTCTCAACTATTATTTGTTTACTGTTGTGTAAAACTTTTAACTTAGTCCCAAGCATCTATCTGATGTTTGTTTAGAAAATTGCAAACCATCAGTGTTGATGTGTGTATAATGACCAGTTTTCATGATGCAAGCTACATGAGTATTTAGAACAGTCTATGGCACATGCTATCTCAGCAGCTTGACAATCAAACCATAGAATGGTTCTTTCTAGTAATTAGTCTTCATTAGACTAGTTGGTGCAGAAAAAAATGAACGTTAAATCCCATTCCATTCATTCTTTCTATTAAATGAATCATATCCACCTACCCTGTATAATTTCCATGGTGGATGCCAGTTAGGTCTAGGCATAGTTTGTGCTTTACGAGGTACTAACATCTGTTGTTGACCAACTGTTACAGATACCAGAGCCTGCAATACATACATTTAATTTCTAATCATTTACAATTTAACAAGAAATAATACCAGTGAGTGGCTAATAAAAACATGAACATATAATATCTAAATAAAATTTTAGTTTTCTAAAACACAACTGGACAAGACATGCAAAAGAAATGAATGAAAATAAAGTTCCACTAGGTCTAGAATAACCCTGTGATTTCCAGTGAGCTGATTCTGCATGAACAGCTGATTCTGGTCATGAACAGCTGATTTTGGTCATGAAAAAGCTGATTCTGGTCATGAACAGTTGATTCTGGTCATAAACAGTTGATTCATTGACAAACTGTCCACAAGAAGAAGAGAACCAGATAAAAAAAAAACAACAGATACTTGAATTTGATGTTAATGTTACCTTGGATGCCTGACTTCTCTCTGTTGTTTGCCCTCCTGGTCTGATAAAAGAAAAGAAAGTATATTTAAATATTTAAATAAGTAATACGAGTAGATGCCATATAGAAAATATGTGCTCTGAATGTTAATAATTGTAAAATAACACAGAACTCGGATACTATAACTATACTTTGATACTAACCTTGTTTGTTCATATGGCGTTATTTCCATTCCTCTACTGGTATTGTTTTCTCCTCCAGTACCTAATATAATACAAATAGTTAAAACAACCAGCGGCTGCCAGGCAGGATACGCCCACATTTTTCGAGAGATGGATAGAGAACAAGCTAAGAAGAAAGTGATTTTTCCTACAATCAAGGGCCATAATTCAGGAAATTAAAATTCAATATGCGCGAATATCGAAAAAAAACAAGATCTTTGGGTTATAAACTTACATTTCAAGTTTCAACAAAATCAGATAAAAATTGTGACCTCTATAGGGTCCACAACCTTGATATACCATATTTTTACGCTATTTGAGAATGAAGGGCAGCCATTTTGTCTGTCAGTTTTGGGCCGATTTTCACGAAATTCGAACTCAGCTGTCCTTAGGGTGTAACGGTGTAATAATAATACATTTTTTTTTAAATTGGATAAAAATTATGAACTCTATAGGGTCCACAAGCTAAAAACACGATTTTTCGTACAATCAGGGGCCATAATTCAGGAAGTTACGGTCAGATATGCGCGAATATCAAAAGGAACCGAGATCTTTGGGTTATAAACTTACAGTTCAAGTTTCAGCAAAATTGGATAAAAATTATGACCTCTATAGGGTTCACAAGCTAAAAACACGATTTTTCGTACAATCAGGGGCCATAATTCAGGAAGTTACGGTCAGATATGCGCGAATATCAAAAGGAACCGAGATCTTTGTGTTATAAACTTACATTTCAAGTTTCAACAAAATCGGATAAAAATTGTGACCTCTATAGGGTCCACAACCTTGATATACCATATTTTTACGCTATTTGAAAACGAAGGGCGGCCATTTTGTCTGTCAGTTTTGGGCCGATTTTCACGAAATTCGAATTCAGTCGTCCTTCGGGTGCAACGGTGATATAATAATACGATTTTTTAAATCGGATAAAAATTATGACCTCTATAGGGTTCACAAGCTAAAAACGCGATTTTTCGTAAAATCAGGGGCCATAATTCAGGAAGTTACGGTCCGATATGTGCAAATATCGCAAGGAACCGAGATCTTTGTGTTATAAACTTACATTTCAAGTTTCAACAAAATCTGATAAAAATTGTGACCTCTATACGGTCCACAACCTTGATATACCATATTTTTACGCTATTTGAGAACGAAGGGCGGCCATTTTGTCGGTCAGTTTTGGGCCGATTTTCACGAAATTCAAACTCAGTCGTCCTTGGGGTGCAACGGTGATATAATAATACGATTTTTTAAATCGGATAAAAATTATGACCTCTATAGGGTCCACAAGCTAAAAACGTGATTTTTTGTACAATCAGGGGTCATAATTCAGGAAGTTACGGTCCGATATGCGCGAATATCGAAAGGAACTGAGATCTTTGGGTTATAAACCTACATTTCAAGTTTCACAAAATCAGATAAAAATTGTGACCTCTATAGGGTCCACAAGCTAAAAACGTGATTTTTCGTACAAACAGGGGCCATAATCCATGAAGTTTCGATCCGATACATGCCAATATCGAAAGCAGCCCAGAACTTTTGGGGATAAACCTATATTTCAAGTTTTGTCAAAATCAGACAAGAATTGTGACCTGTAGAGAGTCCACAAACAAATTGTGGACGGACGGACGTAAGTCCGGACGGAAAGGGGCGACGACAATATACGTCCACATGAAAATGTGGGCTTATAGAAACATCAGATATTAACCTATGTATTATCCATTGATATCTAGAGGTTATTCTCTTGCTGTATTAACTCCAGGTATACAAGTTTTTTTATTCTACATAATAACCTAGTATGAGGTAATTATTCTATGTAATAACCCTGTGAAATTTATTCTTTACTTTTACTGTCCCTATTTTTTTTCGCTTTTTTTGTGACAGTTCATCAACTTATTTATGCTGAAAAACATAAAACCTTGTGAAGATGTCCCCCCCCCCCCATGGACAAAACCTTGACCTATGTCCTAAACCTTTCTTTTACATCGGAATTTACCATCGGGTTTTACTTTTTCCAGCATAACCTCAGAGTCATACTTTATCACTTCAGTTAAATAAAGAAGCAGTAATTATTAACATAACATTGCATCATTTCAATTATGAAGCAATACTCTGTGCATAATTAAATGTGTATTAAAGGTACTTATTTTTGATGCTCTCCAGACAAACATGTGTTCTTTTTGCTTTTCAGAGGGGATACTAAAATCTAATTTTTAATAGTACAACAGCTAAAATAAAACATTGAAAGCATACATTGTTTTTTCTTGATCAAAACTATAATTTTTACTTACCGTTCCACTGATTATCAATTGCTTTAGATTGTTTTGTTGTGGACTGTTTGGGCATGTCTAATACAGGTCCATATTCATCACGAACTTTACTCATCCTCTTTATTGTTTCACTAAGAAAAAGCAATCAAATTCATAAAATTTGATATTTATTGTCAAATACTTGATAAGTTTTTGTCATGGAATTCTAAGGCTACATGAGCTTAAGTTGGAAGCCATCAAATCAACTGACGCTTACAAAACTTAGGGCTTATTTTCAGACTGTTCCATAAAGAATTATATTTTTAACTGACCTTTTGTCATCTTTACAAGGTAAACTGCCTTGATCTGATATGAACATATCATGTGTTCTCTTCAATGATCTGAAAACCAGCGTGTGAACTGAATGTTTCTGAACATCCTGAAATTAAAGACAAAGATTTAATGGAATGAACATTGATATTTTCAAATAAGAAAGAGAGTATTATGCTTTAAACAGGCAATAGGCCTTACTGACTCTACTGATTATTCAGCCGTGCAGTCCTGTACAGCATTATCTCCTTTAGCTGCAATTTTTAGCCGAGATAATTCTTATCTATGGCTGCAATTGATACACTATACGACTCTTTACGCAAGTAAAATTAGGTTCAGTTGCAAAATTTTCAACACATATCATTGCTTGCATGGAAATAAGTGATTGTGTTACAAAACGTGAAGAGTGGAACACAGAAATCTTAATTTCATCATACCGAATAGTTTTTCTGTATTTTCGAGTGATATAATATCAAGAGATTTTGGTATGGCGGCCATTTTAACTGAACAGAAATTTTGCATAGCAGTTGAGTTTAATCAAATCATATAATTATGCGGCAAGGTTTCACCTTTATCTCAATGGGAATTGGTTTATTATATGTTAAGCTATGTACAGTACAGTTTGGGGTCAGTGTAATTGGAAATTAAGGGAGTTACAGGTCAGTAACTTTTTTGTAGTCAAATGACTACAAAACTTGTGCAAAGGAAGGCCCTAGGACAGTCCACTACTGTGGCTGGAGTAAGACGTAAGACATCAGTAGTGTAACCATTTCTATATCTCCTTCTCTTACTGGAGATTTCATGTCAGATTGTTCAAACTAGATAAGTGTTGTGGGCTAGATTTTGAGACAGAGATCTGGTACGGTTTAATGTTAGAAAAAATTGGTGGGAGGACTCTGTAACCACTCCATGAATTTGTATGCATTTACCGGTACCGTACCGTAAACTACAAGTAGATGAAAGAATGGGAATTGTAATGAGTGAGAACAAAAATAATTTATTTCAAAATTACATTTGAAATTAGAATTTAGATTTCTAGACAGATAAAACTTATGTATCTGTGTGTATAAAGTCCCGTAGCTCAAATTGAAAGCAAGTAGAATGGGCATAAATTTGATCTTTTTTTCATAAAAACAACAACTCAACAGTCAGAATATTGACGTTCTTCATCTAAACAATGAGATCATACGAAAAATAGTCAAACTGATCAACAAAAATATAATACGACTTTAACCTCTGTGAGTGCCATGACTGGATAATCTTCGAAATATGAATAATATGATAAAATTCTAAATAAATAAAACACTCAGGACGTTTTATATACTTTGTCCGCCATGCACGTTACATTTACTTCCGGTTGTACGGATTGGCAAATAACTACAACAAGTCTCACTTACCATTTGCGCACACTCCGCACAGAGAACTATCTACTTCAAGAATAGATCTCTGTCTTATGGCCAATCTTTCCAAAAAATCGTATACTATTTTGTTTTGCGGTTTTATTAAATTGAAACGGAATAAATACTTCTCAAAATTCTCGAGAATGTTTTCGACTAAAATGTTCTCAATCGTAGCCAATTTTAAACAGCCACTGTGACAGCCTAAGTTTAGTATGTTAGTTTACACGGCAAAAGCAATATTATTATTATTATTTTATTATCATCATTTATATAGCGCACGCTTTCACAAAATGTGTTCAGATGCGCTGTACAATATATATTACATAAAAAATATAAAAAATAAAACGTACGTTTAAAAATCTATAATAATTGTATAAAATTAAAACAGTAAAAAATAAATCTATAAATCAAAAGCTTGTTTGAATAAAAGTGTTTTCAATTGCGATTTAAAACTCGATAAAGAGGTAGAACTTCTGAGAGTAAGTGGGAGCTTATTCCACAGTTTAGGGGCCTGCACTGTAAACGATCGTTCACCGTAAGTTTTCAGTCTAGCTGTTTTACAGACAAGTGAATAATGGTCACTTGAGGACCTCAATGTACGAGTAGGGGAATATATATCTAAAAGCGACGATAAATACAACGGTGCCATATGATTTAAACATTTAAAAGTTAAAATAATGACCTTATATTGAATTCTAAAAACAATGGGTAACCAGTGAAGTTGAATTAAAATAGGGGTGATATGATCATTATATTTACTTCTGGTAATGAGTCGAGCTGCGCAATATTTTCTATTTATTATTACTGCATGTATTTTGTTTTATTATGAAAGTCTTTGAATTTTGGCATCTCTTAAGGATCTGGCGACCGTAGACGCCATTTTTAACCGGTGAAATTGGAGAATACTCTGTCTAGAACTTAAAAGTAAACTGTCCTGTCCACAACAAGCAAACGACAGACACGGGAGGTAAAGGAAACCAATAATTGCTAACTACTGCAGAAATGTGAAGGACACAATACATCTGCTATTTTTCATTAATAATTTTACATTGTTCCATCAAATTATACAGTAACCACATTTCTCAACTTTCTTGTCTCCACGGCTTGTGTTTTTTTTATATATATATTTTATACAAAACTGTGCTGCAATTCTTTTCAGAAGACGTGGACATTTCCCCTACTACTATACTATTAACTGCTATATTCTAGTCGAGAATCCAAATCTCTTACCGCTCGACTACTGTTCCCACACCCCTCTCTTATCTCTTTCAGAGCAGGGCATAAAGACTCACGGACCTCTAATCTGTGTAAGCGCGGGGGTATACTCGGGGATATTTCTAGCGGAGTTTTTCAGAACACTTCAAGAAATCTGACCATTGTAAGCCATGACACCACGCCCTGTTCCGCCATTCTTTTAGCGTATTTAGACTTTAACAGGGTTCCAAATATAATTTTAATACACACTATATTGCTACGATAGATGCGTAATGAAGATTTCAAGAAACGGAAGTAAAAGTTGTTATGTGAGACTGTGAGAGGATATCTGACAATTCAAAAATAAATAAATAAAAAAATAAAAATAGAATAATAATTGACTGTCACTGGATAAGAGAATGAATAAAAACAAGGGAATGTGCGGACTATTCATTTTTTCTCGTTTTCTCTAGTGATATTCAATTACTTTTTGGAATTGTCAGATATCCTCTCACAGTCTCACATAACAACTGTTGGTCTTCTAAGGAATTATTAGTGAGCAGAAATTCGCCCATGTATCTGTTATCACTTTAGTCAGTTAGAAGGATAACTCGGTTCTTTCTTTTGCTTTCGCTTCTTGAAATCTTCATTACGCATCTATCGTAGCAATGATCTCTGTGTTAAAATTAAATTAAATTTGGAACGTGTTTGACCATAATTGTCCTTTAACTTGTGTACTAACAATGAGATATTCCAACACCAAATGGGAGATATGATTCTTTTCTAAAGGATACAAAGGTAAAATAACTAAAAGAAATGTTGATTGGAATTTATTATGGTTTGTTTGTTACACGACTTTAAAAAGCTTTAGATGTCCATCAAGCAATAATACCTCTAGAAGAAGATGATGAAGATGTTTCCTATCCTCTCCTAAAAACATTAAGATGTGAGTCATGTTCATTGCATTTGTAATCGCCGAAGAAGTCTGTAGGTCTGAAATCATCACGATTTATTATTCTATTTTTGTGTAAACTTTCGATAAAGAACTGATAGTTCCCGCTGCAGTAATTTAAAAAATAGATCATGAAAAGAGAATATATATTATTGAAAATTTCAGTCAAATTACTTCATTCTGGGCGAATTTATGGTCTTTTGAAGAAAAGTGTAGTCTCGATTGTCATTGCTATATGTTAGGATAATAAAAAAAAAGTCTCGATTATTCATTTTCAATTAAACTATTTACTGCGATCATGTTTAAATCCGTTGAAAATCATAAAAAATCCGATGCTCTAGAGCAGTGGTTTTTAACCTTTTTATGTCACTAGCACACCTTGGAACACGTGAAAAAAAGCGACACACCTGGCTAAATATATATGAAAATTATTTGAATTTTGCAAAATAGAAACACGGTAAGTCAGATGGAATACAACCATAGACAGAGACCAGTCATAGACACATAGAATGACCCAAACTAAGTAAAAAAAACCCCACAGCTATGAACTTATCAGTAGACACCAGTGAATACTCAATTAGTGGGTTTTTTTTTCACATTTTCTTAGTGTGCCTTTCAAAATTTCGCGTCACACTTAGGAAGATCTCGCGGCACACTGGTTGAGAATCACTGCTCTAGATGGTATTATGGGCTTGGCATGTGAATTAATATTTAAAGTTATTTTTCAATCAGAAATTTAGACTAGTTCAATGGTCTGGTAAGACCTGTATTATATCTCTTACCACAACCAATTCCCAGTGAAGCATATTGGACTGAATATGGTCCCGTATTACCTAGAAGTGTTTCGTGTGAATCTGTATCGGGATGTGGTGGTGCATCGTATTTGTCCAGATCTCGGTCCATTGCTGAACATGAAACTGGTGGAGGGAATATAATATCTAAACCTCGAATAGACTCTAAAGGTTTGTTCTGCTATTTCAACGTCTTAATTTTTATCGAAAGATTTCGTATAACAACTAACCTTTGACACCGATTTTGGATACAGTGTTTTTATAGTTACTGACGTGGGTATAGCGTTGTCCGGGGATTTTAATTTGAACAAAGGAATCTTTCTAACTCTTCGGTTAGCAGACGGTTTCATTCAAAGTTACCGTAATATATATTATCTCGGTTTGCAAAGTCTATACCTCGGTTAGGAAACGATTCCAGACAAATTTGCCGTATACCCATACGTCTATCGGGTGTATCTATAAAGCCAGCAAGCAGTGGTACAGGACTACATATACCTGAGATTTCTAAAACTTAAACCCAATCTCTTTTATCGCTGCCGAGTATCATTTATATGAAATCCGTAGTTGATTCTCTTAAGAGATATTCGACTGCAGGGAATTTTAAACAAGGTATAAAATATTTGTTTTATTAGACGCCAACAAATACTGGTAGGTCTGCGTTGGGCTTTATGCTGGTCCCCAAACAACCCATAGCTTTCTTGTCTCCAGTTTTCATCTCGCCCATCTTTAAGAGAAAGCTTGATCTCGCTTTAACCCCATACATCTTAACAAGGCCTTCACGTTTCTTCACTAATTTCGATTGGTCTCTAGACCTCTCAGATTCATCGATTGAAAATATCATCGCGCATACCAAATTGTACATGTATATAATTCAATTCACTAAATGTGTAAATTTCACTATTTTTGATTATCCTTGCACATCTTTTATGAATTGTTTATATTTATAGGAGAGGGGTTCAATAGGTCATAATGGGTCCGTATTCAAAGGTTAATACTTAATTTTTCCACTTAACAATGTGTCCTACCTTAAATCGTTATTCAAAGTCTGTATTTTTCGTATCCTTGGCTATGACTATGTGAAAACTTAACTGCACACTTAACGTACGAAATACCGGCAAACGCCAAAAATCAAGAATTTCTAACTAATGGAATACCCTGCGAAGAATCACGAATTTCTAACGGCGACGGCAAATTATGTCCCCTGCCGCTACTCTATTAAAATCTTAGTTGTCACTGCTAGGAATTGTTTGTCGAATTTTTATATACGAACATGATAAATGGTCGGAACAAAAAAAAATCCTTGACCATCTCGGTGATAGTAACCATATACAATATTATTATTACGGCACTTTACAAAGCTGATGATGAAAAAAAAAATTAAGGTCAGTTACGCTCTGTGACATTGTCTTTGTTTCAATCTCAAATCCCATACTTTTAATATCGCCCTTACGGTCCGGCTGCAACATGGTCATTATGATCTCACTTAGTCTCCCATAGGTCACATAAAGTTAAGTGGATATTTCTCACTTAAACTGGCATTTGAATACCACTAAAAGACTAAACATTTACCCTTAACTTACAGGAAGTTACGTATTTAGGTGAAATCTACCAATTTAGACTTAAAGGATAATTATGGGAGATTAGATGAAGAGTTGTCAGTTTTCGCTATAATAGTTAAACAATTAGATAACGTAAATATGATATGTTGGAAATTTCAGCTAAATTGCTCCACTCTAAACCGAGATATTAGCTTTTGAATTTTAGGCTAACCGCGGTCATCATTACTAAAGTCGGTACGATAAAAAGCAATGTCTCGATTATCCATTTTTACGTTTAATTAGTTTTCAAAAAATGTATTACAATCCGCTAAATATCACAGGCTAGCGATGGCATCGATGGTTCATTATGGTCTGAAGTATCTGAAGTATTAATGTCTTATAATTAACAATTTAGATAACATTAGGTGCCTAAAGAAAGACTTACAATAGGGGCAGATTTAGCTCTTGCATAATACTTAAGATTTCCTTTGAAT